TGTTTTTTATTGTTTTATTAATTGTCTGCTTTTATATAAAAAATAGATTTTTCATCTCTTTGATTTTTTGGAATTTTAAAATTTTGCGGGGAAGCCTGCCTGGAGTACGATCTAAGAAAAAAAGGGGTACCCACGCTACTCTTATACATTTTCCGTACTACAAGTTCATTGGCTTTTGGATCAGTTGTGCGTTTATTTACGTCCGCTCCCAAGAAATATTCTCACTCGTTGTAATTTAAAGTTAAATAATTTTTACTTTGTAACAATGCCACGGAAAGAGCAACGTAAAATGCAAAAGACTATTTATGGATCAGACAGATGTTTTAATCCTTTTAATCTCAAACATCCAACAACAAACACTTTTGATTTGAGGACAGTAAATAAAACTCAACTCATTGAACTGGACCTTGCAATTTCATCAGATGCACTACGACAAAAAACTTCTTCTTTTTGCCGCTTGAAGTTATCAAAGTTGAAAAAAGAAGATACAAAAGAGAGTGAAAGTGAACTACCAGAATTCGTACGTACAATATTTTGATTATTATATTGAGTTCAGACATACCAAACCTTTCGTAGAATTTTATGTCGATGTTTTAGTCTGATTTTTTTTGTAGACGCTACAAAAGGAGGATTCTTCAAGTGGAGAATCTGATATAAAAGTTGGGAGCAGTGACGGTACATCTGGATTTTTGGGAGATAATCTATCTCTGCAAGGTGAATGAGTAGATATGATCAATAAAGGATTAAGCTTTGTAGGATCTTCGCCCATCTAAAAAAAAAAACTATCGTCAAAAAGGTATGTGGAAGAAGCATCAAAACAAATACTGTCCGAAATTGATAAAAAAATGTTTAATTTGAGCCAAAATGATCCAGATAATCTTGAAGCAAATGACGACGCGTCCTCGACAAATAATAAGTGCTTTGTAAGAATGTTTCAATACTTTGCCCAACCACGTTCATAAAACTAAAATTTTGACTACTTTTCGATCGTGGTCTTATAAAAAAATTAAGGACACATTTCCTTTCGCAACTCGTCACATGATAGGCATAGCAAAAAATGTTGCTCAAGATAAGGGATTACTTGGGAATTCAAACCCAAAACAACATTTATCTCTAGATGATAATGTTATCAATACAATTGTTTGTTTATACCAGCCTGACGACTACATTAAAAAATGACTGGAAAAAAAGATAACGTTTCGATAAAAGTAGACACCAAATTGGTACCTATTCAAAAAAGACAAGTATTAAATAATTTAAAAGAATTGTATAAAATTTTCTCTAGTACGTATCCAACTATGAAATGTAGTTTCTCAAAGTTTGCTAGCTTAAGACCGAAGTATTGTGTTTTGGCAGGTGTTTCTGGTACTCACTCTGTTTGTGTATGTCCTATACATAAAAATATTAGTTTATTAGTGAGT